CACACATACACACAAACACAAAAAGAAAACAAGTAACATCAACAAGGAAATACAGTAAATACAATCTACCACATATGGTAAATATAGACTAAAATATGGAAGAGTTTAGAATGTAAACAGGGAAATAAAAATGTATTTGTTAATCTATATTCTTATTGGCCAAAACCAATCATAACAATAAAAGCTTAAAACCCTATATGTAAAAAATCCAGTAGTCCAGAGTGATAGACAAAAAAAATTCAATTACATTTAAAACTTAAACATTTTAACTAATAAACTAAAATTAATGTCGATACAGAGTGTAGTGGAACATCAGGAAAAGCTCCCTATGGATTCATGTGCATGCATCTGGAGGCACCTAGGATCCCTCCATGGGAGACCCAAGAACAGGGAGCTAAGGGAGGTCGCCATTCTTTCATTCCAGTTTTAGAAGCTCCACATCAAAGACAAGAGTGGCATGTGGTGGGATGATGCCTGGGTGCCCAGTGGATAAAAGTTAAATTTGGGACAGAGAATATTCTTTATCACAGCAGAATGGCAGCAAAAACAAATTAAAATTAATTCTGAATGAAAGTTAAAATTTGAGCAGGGAATATATATATATATATATATATATATATATATATATATATATATTATTTTAAAGAATGCCAGCAAAAACAAGTATATAGTAAAATTTTGAGATAGAAAATTTCCAATGTAAAAACATAAGTATAATAACTGACCCAGGCAGGGGTGATTAATTGATGATAAAATGCTCAGTGAGAGATTGTTAAAATACAGGATATTCGTGCTGTTTCAAACCACTTTCAAATTATAAATAAGGTGTCTTTAAAAGGGACAGAGCTGATAGACCCCCTCCTTAATCAAGTGAATATCCTAGTATCACAATAATGGGGATGAAGACACTGGGTTTTCTCTGCCTGCAGATGGGCTGAAGTAGGAAGCTCACAGTATGACTCTGCAGTATTCCTTGCAAAATGTTTAGGCTGAATTTAATCATGAGGACATTTTCAGATGACTTCAGAATGCAGAGCTTTGAGCCAGACAGCTGACCTGTCCTCTACAAACAAGTCCATGTCACCACCAATGACAACAACCAAAAGAGGAAGAGATGTTTGGGGTTCAAAATGACTAAAAAAGATAAGCTACCTAGTTTTTACTCTTTTTGAACCCAAAATGTCTTTTCGCCTTTTTGTTGTGTTCTTGGTGGTAACATGGACTGTTTGAAGGAGACAGGTCAGTTGTCCTGTTGAATGTTCTACATTTTGCAATTGTCTGAGGATTTCCCTCCTATGAAATTCAGGCTAAACATTTTCAGCAAGAACATGGCATTGTTCATACTCTACCCTGGCAGAGTCCTGGATGACATGCTGTCTCATCCCAGCAGTTCTGGACTTCTGTTCTCTATAGGATGAAAATTGAGAGGAGCAGGGCTAAGGCCTGTCAATGCTGTGTGTCCATCTGAGAATTGGTCTCCGTAGGTATTGATCACAATTGGACTAGGATGGACTGTGGCTTCTCAAATCAAAGGAGCCTGGTGGGTTGAAATCAGCAAGAGCATTCTGTGGTCTAAAATTCAATCCTCTGTAAAGGTTCCCTGCAGTGTCATTGTATTTGGACTTGGACTTGCTTTGCTGTCTTAGTTTTTTCTCATCAATTGGAAAAGCTACTGTTTTGGCATCCTTTCATCCTTTGCATCCTTCTGGTAGTATTTGGTACCTGTAGGGGAGGGAGAGAAAATAATGAAATCAGCATTTTTGTCAGATCCTTTTGAAGGCTGAGTTTAGAGGGATTGCTAAGTGGTGATATCCCAGGGGCAAACTGATCTCCTGCTGGGAGCTTGAGCTGAGGGTGAGGGTTGGGCATGGCTGAAAGGGGAAGCACCATTCACAAGTGAGAAGAAAACACCACTGTATTTCCCTGAACTTCCAGTCAGCCTGTGGTGCAAGATGTAGGGACCCCACCTATGACCAACCTGCAGCCTGGGAACATCAGCCCCTTTCCTCCTGATCACCCCTGTCTGGAGGAGAGTGATGGCTTTTCCTCCCAGTGAGGATGTGCTCAGCATCAATCATACATGCTCAGAGAGAGGGCTGCAGAAAAGGAAGATCCCTTTGCAGAGAAACCCACTCCCTTAAACTCCATGTCCCAGTCTTCTAGGGAGGAGCAGGAGGCCATGGGAAGAACTCTGGATATAAGAAGCAGCAGGAACCTCAAACAACATCCACGTCCACTTCCAGGCTTTAAAATCGAGGTGTAGTGATGCCACTGGCATATGATTGAACTAAGGCCACATGACTTGTTATTGAAAACCCAGGAATTAGAACCCACGAACTATGGCCCTTTCAATAAATGTTGGAGAAAGAGAGAGGAAAGTCCCCAATCTGGAGGTCTCAACAGTCATGAGATGCTGTTGGGCCACCTTGGCTAGGACAGGAATCAGGTTTTACAAAGAAATATAAGAAATGTGATGCCTGTGGTGCTTGTTTGGTTGGTTAAAAGAATTTTTTTTAAAGAAAAAACAAATATAAGTAATCTTTCAAAGAGGATCAGGAAAGAAAGAAAATTAAAAGAAAAAAAGAAACTCAAAACGGAGATAGCAAAGAGAGAGCAGGGAGTGTAGTTATGATCCTACTTATTTTCCCTAATGCTTGAAGTTGATTCCACACCTGGTTACACCTTATGGGATTTCTAGAAATCTTCTCAATATCTAGACCAACAGAACTCTGAAGTACAAAGTGAAAAGGATTAGTTTGTGTTTTACTACATTCTCCCCTTCCACTCATTGCTTTTCCAAAGTACACTTTGGGGAAAGTTTACTTTTTAATATTTAATGTCAGTGTCAAGAGTGGCATAAAGAAGTATTCATATATGAGCTCTTGCAGAATTTCAGTCTTGATTTGTTATTGCATTCTCTTCAGGAGAGTGAGACCAGTAAGTTTTCTTTCAGGGCTTTGTGGAAGGACAATAACTGACTGAAAGTAAAATGTTCACAATGCAGGGCTGAGCCAATTAGTGGGCTGTAAAATCTGTGTGGTTAAATGCAAACTGGAAGTTTTATTTTAAACTGCCAAAGAAAATACTGAATTCCACTATATATAATATGGCAGGTATTATTTCTGTACATTAGATGTTAATGTAATGATTATTTTTCACTTTATCTTGCATTCAAAATTGAGCAAGTGAGCTTCAAGCAGAGGCTAAAGGTCTAATCTATTAATTTTCTTGTTTTTCTTATTGATTTTTTCTATGCTATACAAACAGTGCTGTTGAGAGAGGAATATAGGTCTCATCAAAGGCTGATGGAGGCTCAGCCTTTGGCGTAGCTGCACATATGGGGCACTTCTGTGTTGGTAACCTGAGATCATAGAAGACCAGTGGTCGTTCTTATCTTTAGCCACAGTATTAGAGTCACATAGGACCATTTTAAAACTATACACACCCAAACCACACCCCAGACCATGTAAGTGAGAATCTCAAGGTGTGAGTTCAAGTCATTCATCTTAATTGAAATCTCACAAGGTGTTTATTACATGGCAGCAGAAGATAGAGATACTAAATAGAATAACCCAATTTCCCATCATTTTCTTTCCTTTTGCTGTTTATCTCGTGATTGCCTTTGTTCCCAGCGGTTCCATGGATTTCAGTCTTCTCTCTGACAACTTCAGTGAAATCTCTCTCTTATCAATTGGACTGGACCAAAGCAAAGACTATCCTGTGGATAGATTCTTGCCTGTCATCTTGTGCATGCATAAAGCTGGCTGTGGAGTCACTTTTCTCAAAGTTAATTCAGAAAATGCTATCTCATGTAAACTGGCCTCAAGATTCATCTGAGTTGCATTTTCGACTATTAACTGGACTTGTAGAAGTGGAAATGAGAATAAAAAGGAGAGAGGTTAGAATGATGTACCTCACGATGTATGCAGTTCTGAAGTCCTTCCCTCTGCATGTACTTTTGAAATGATGTCCATTTATAATGTCATAAATGTCTTCCAGTTAATGTCAGCTCAAATGAGTCCATGAGGTGAGAACATTGAATCCATGGTAACTCCATCTACATTGGCACAAGTCTGCAGATCTGGAGCTGAAGACAAACCTGACTCTAGGCTAGTAGGGAACTCCCACCAGATTCTAGTTGAGTTTTCTAAATGGGGCTCTTTCTGCTCAGTTTTAACACTACTCATTCAGAGGAACAAGGGAAGATTAAGGGTTAAATCAGTTGGGTGGCTAAAAAGCCGAATCAAGAGAAAAACCTATGCGTAAATGATGCATTAAAGCAATGCTTCCTGCAGAAAGACATAATGAAGTTGGGGATGCTAGGAGGAAAGGTAAATTTCCCAAGAGATTGTGCAATGCCAGCAAAGAACCCTGTGTTCAGCAGCTTAAACTGTGAATGTGGATGAGGACAAGGAGGTCTGGCTCTCCTGTGGCCGTGAGATGGACACTTAAGACAGCAGAATAAGGAACAGAACAGAGTTCAGAGAGCAATGGAAAAACGGGGACAGAAAAGGCCTTGTAGGGTGGGATCCCATGGGACACAAAGTTAGGACCAGACAGAGGTTACAGCAGCTGCTGGAGAGAAAAAATGGAAGAGAAAAAACAGTGGGAGAATGAGCTGTCACCACAGACAGAGAGAAATAAGAAGTGAGTGCAGCTAAGAGTCATATATGCGATTACCTCTGCACCCTAAGCGTGAAGGTCTGGGAATCCACTTGCTGAACCAGAGTTTTCTTTTAATCATCTTGGGTTTCAAAACACTTGAGGCATGAATGTGGCCAGTGACTTGATGCCCTTGTATGTTGTCCTGCTGAGCCTTCAAGTGCATCATCTTCCAGCTGCTGAGGGTTCTTCCATTCCAACAGAGGGCTCTAAAACCAGCTCTGAAAACAAAACCACAGCCAATGGCATCCACTGGCATCCATGATCTTACTGTGACTTTCTCTTCCACCGAAAGGATGTCAAATCAAGAATGTGGCCTTGGACAAGAAAGTCCAAAGTGTGAGGGGAAGCCAATAGAGTGACTTTAATATTTTCTCTTTGTTGATCTTTCTTCCATTACCCAGTAAGACAAGTTTGTCAAGAGGCCAAGGCACTTCTGATTCACAAAAATATTGAAGAAACACAGGACTAAGAAACACAAATAGCTTCCAGATAGATAAGGCAAAAGCAAGGAAATGCCCCTGTATGTAGTCTGTGCTTTGGGGAGAGAAGTGATTATAAAAGTGAAAGTAAAATCACAGCTGAGGTCAAACAGGAGATGGGGATAGAAGGGCCTGGCAGGGTGGCAGCCCATAGGGATGCAGAGGTGAAACCAGATGCAGGTTACAGCAGCTGAGAGAAAAGAAACGGGGAAGCTGGGGAACCTGGAGAATTTACAAAACTTGCATCATTATAAGACCTATTGCATATACATATACACCCTATGTAGCATGCACACCAAATACATATATGTGATAAATGACATCAATTTATAGTATCTGTACATAATCCAAATAAAATGTATTATACAGGAATTTGTGAGATATTGAATGTAACATTATAATCACTATTGTGGTTTATTGAAATTTGAAAATAAATTAGACGCATGAAAATAATGAAGAAGAAAAAGTACGGGAGAAACAAATGACCTATTAGAAAGCAGGAGAAATCAACAGCTGAAGGAAAATATCAATGAGACAAAAGCATTCACTCTGTCCTCTCACCTGGAGTCCGATTCAGGCTCTGGATTCCAGGGAACGTGAGTAAGTGACAGTGTGTGTGAGCCAGTGGCGTGAGTCTTAGCTGGGGATGTGAGAACCCCTAGAGAAGCAGAGGAGATTCCAGTGGGAAGAAATCAGTTTAAATAAGTTATCATGGCACCTATAAGGAACTGCACATCTCTTGACAACCGCTGAGCACCATCCATGTGTCCTCTCCAGGGACCCAGATAATGCTTGTTATTTCATGTGACCATCCCTCCTCCTGAGTACAGGGGTCCCCTCATTCTTCAGCTGTGGACATCCCAAAGCCTCCAGGAGGTGATATTGAGTGGAATGGAGTGTGAGAAGGAACACGACCCAGGTCTTTAAGGAAATCTGAGCAAAAGTGGTTTCTGTGAGATGGATATTGAGGACATAGTTGTAGACATGGGTGGAGATGATGAACTAAATGGATTTTCATAAAAGAGACTGATGTGAATACTTTCTACATGAAAGTAGCCCTTCTTTTTTTTGTTTTGTTTTGTTTTTGTTTTTGTTTTTGTTTTTGTTTTTTTAAGCAGAAAATAGGGAGAAGACAGAGCTGGACATGTCATGAGACTGACTCCTGGGCTCAGACTTTACACTGTTACTGAATGTGCCTCATAGGTTATTAGTGAAAGTGCCTGACAGTGGAGATTTGGACACTGATTTGGTCTTGTGCAAACTGTGATTTGCTTACTGTGACCTGCTCTTCTGAATTTCTTTACAGGAAATCAAAAGGATCATGAGAAAGAGGAAGGGAAAGCACCAGTGTGCAGAGGAGTATGTGTGAGAAACGAAGGGAAGAGGGGTCTCTACAAAACAGAGAGCCTCACAATTGCTCTACTCAGAGACGGCATATTCTGTGAAGTCATTTTCTAAATGTATATTTGGCAGAAAAACAAGTGGATTAGATTACAGCTATTTACAGGTTTATTCAGCAATTGTTATTGAATTAGGCCCTTTGGAAATTATAATAATTAATACTCTCAACAATGATAACAAGTGGATGCTATTTTTTAGGTAGCTCTGATGAGAAAACAGAGATTTACATCCCCAAAAGACAAAATCATAGATTTCAACTTGACCCTGAGTGAGCACAGAGAGGCCCCATTCTCTCCTCCACCGATAGCACAGTGACCACCAAGACCTGGATTAGACGTACCTATTACCCTTTCCTTCCCTACCTGTAAAGGGACATTCGGTCCTAGAATCAGCATTGGCTATGAAGCTAAAGGTGGTGGAGACAAGGCCCTGGCTGGCTAAGCCAATCCCACAGTCGAACCCTTGATCCGGCTGTAGTCCCAGGTAATTGGGCACCAGGGTGCATGGCTCCCGCTGTGTCTCTGAAGCCTGCACCTCTGATAGGTAGCAGCTCAAGTCTCCACTGCAAGTCCCTTGGGGAGAGTTCTCCTGGGTAGGAGCTGAAAGAGAAAGTAGGAACAGTCTCACTTTTCCCTTTGTTAAATGCACCCAGAACACCCATCTTTGCTGTCCCTGCTTTTCACTAAAGCCTTCCAGTGAACCAGGCCATACAGACAGACATCATTTAAATGCAGGTGATGTTACCTTTTCTGTCATAGATGTGATTACCTCTGCACACTAAGCGTGCAGTGTAGGGAGTCCGCTTGCTGGACCGGAGTTTTCTTTTAATCATCTTGGGTTTCCAAACACTTGAGGCATGAATGTGGCCAGTGACTTGATGCCCTTGTGTGTTGTCCGCTGAGCCTTCAAGTGCATCATCTTCCAGCTGCAGAGGGTTCTTCATTCCAACAGAGGGCTCTAAAACCAGCTCTGAAAACAAAATGACAGCCAATGGCATCCGAGGGCATCCATGATCTTACTGTGACTTTCTCTTCCACCCAAAGGATGTCAAATCAGGAATATGGAATTGGACAAGAAAGTTCAAAGAGTAAGGGGAAGCCAACAGAGTGACTTTAATATTTTCTTTTTATTGATCTTTCTTCCATTACTCAGTAAGGACAAGTTTTTCGGGAGGCAAAAGCACTCTGGATTCACAAAAGTATTCAAGAAACACAGGATTAGGAAACACAAACAGCCTCCAGGTAGATAAGACCTATTGCATATACATATAGGCCCTATGTAGCATGCACACCAAATATATATATGTGATAAATGACATCAATTTATAATCTGTACATAATTCAATGAAAACATATTATACAGAAAATTGAGAGATACTGAATGTAACATTATAATCACTATTCTGGTTTATTAAAATTGTGAAAAAAATTAGAAGCACTAGAACAATGAGGAAGAAAAGGTGTGGGAGAAATCACCAGCTGAAGGAAAATATCAATCAGACAAAAGCATTCACTCTGTCCTCTGACCTGGAGCCTGATTCAGGCTCTGGACTCCAGGGAATGGGAGTAAGAGAGATTTTGTGTGAGCCAGTGGGGTCAGTCTTGGCTGAGAATGTGAGAATCCATAGAGAAGCAAAGGAGGATCCAGTGGGAAGAAATCAGTTTAAATAAATTATCACAGGCACGTGTAAGGAACTGCACATCTCCCAACAACCTGTGGGCACCCTCCACGTATCCTCTCTATGGACACAGATGGTGCTCTTTATCTCACATGACCTTCCCTCCTCCTGAGGACAGGGGTGCCCTTATTCTTCAGCTGAGGACATCACCTGACAGTTGAGCAGCAGGCAGCTCCAGGGGCTCTAGGAGATGATGTTGAGTGGGATGGAGAGCGAGAATAAACACGACCCAGGGTTTTAAGGAAATCGGAGCCCATGTGGATCCCTGTGAGCTGGAAACTGAGGACATGGCTGTGGACATGAGTGGAGATGATGAACTAAATGGATTTTCATGAAAGAGACTGATATGTATACTTTCTGTGTGAAAGCCAAAAAAAAAAAAGGAGAAAAAGGAGCTGGGTATGTCATGAGACTGACTTGTGGACCCAGGATTTACACTGTTACTGAATATGCCTCATAGGTTGTCACTGAAAGTGCCTGATAGCGGAGATTTTGCTTCATGAGGGATGGGGAAGAAGAACAAGAAAACTGGCAGAGAAATATGTGTGAGAAACGAAGGCAATAGGGGTCTCTAGAAAACAGAGAGTGTCACAATTGCTCTACCTCAGAGAAGGCATAGTCTGTGATGTGACTTTCTACATGTAAATTTGGCAGAAAGACAAGTGGATTAGATAATAGCTATTTACAGGTTAATTCAGCAATTGTTATTGAATCAGGCCCTTTGGAAATTATAATAATGCTTTCAACAATTATTACAGGTAGATACTATTTTTTAGATAGCTCTGATGAGGAAACAGAGATTTACATCCCCAAAAGACAAATTCTTAGGCCAACACGAACAACCAGAAAGAGGCAAACCCAGGACCTAAGAGCAGGTTTTGTCCTATGTCGCAGGCTCTTGCTCACCTCACTGGGTTGAAGCATCATGGATTTCAATTTAACCCTGAGTGAGCACGGAGAGGCCCCATTCTCTCCTCTGTCCATAGCACAGTGACCACCAAGACCTGGATTAGACCTTCCTATTCCCCTTTCCTTCCCTACCTTGAGAGGGACATTGGGTCCCAGAATCAGCATTGGCTGTGAAGCTGCAGGCAGTGGAGGAAAGGCCCCACCTGGCTAAGCCATTCCCACAGTCGAACCCTTGATCCAGCTGTAGTCCGAGACAATTGGGCACCATGGTGCCTGGGTCCTGCTGTTTCTGTGAAGCCTGCACCTCTGGCAGGTAGTAGCTCAAGTCTCCACTACAAGTCCCTTGGGGACAGGTCTCCAGGGAGGGAGCTGAAAGGAGAATGGGGCTTCAGTAGAAACAGTCTCAGTTTTCCCATTGTTAAATGTACCCAGAACACCCATCTTTGCTGTCTCTGCTTCTCACTAAAACCTTCCATTGACCCAGGCCCCACTGACAGACATCATGTAAATGCAGGTGATGTCACCTTTCCTGTCTGTGCCTGGAGAAGCTGACAGGAGCTGTGGTTCCAGGGCTAGGGTGTCCCTTTAGTGAAATAGTTGTGCAAAACTGCCTGCATATGTGGGTGGCCAGAGGAGAAATAATGGCACTGTTGAAGGCAAGTAGTTAGGAACATAATTTCAGAAAGGAGAGATTCCAGATAATGAAGAAAGGTTTCTTGGGTAAATATATCTAGATGAACTACGGTGGGCAAGAACTTGCTAAAAGCCCTAACCCCTTTCCAGCTTTCATGCCCACAGCCTGCTCTTGTAAGAAGGAGCTAGGTGACAGAGGAGTCACTTGGACAGGAGAAGAGGAAGTTTCACCCTATGTGATCAAAACTGTATCCCAGCACCAGATTGAAAACAGGCTTAGTGTAGATGGCCTCCCTGCATTGACCCCCTGTCTCAGCAGCACAAGTTGCCAAAAGAAAAACATGTGGAGGCTGCCTGGGAAGACACTGGAGCTTTGTGAACTTCAGGCTGGAGTACTCACAGGCTACATCCAGAGCAGAGCATGTGAGCTGATCATCCAATGAGGACAAGGTGCCACTATAAGGCTGGTGGCAGTCAGACAGGTCATGCTGAACTGAGGGAGTCAAGTAAATTTCATCCAAGGAGTCCTCTGGGACTTCCTGCTCTTTTACTTCTGGCAGCTCCTGGCTCAGCCTGGAGTAAATAAGACAAAAGATACACACTGGACAGGACCAAAACCAGTGCACCTAGCTGGTTCCATAGGGAGGACCACAGGAGAGGCCAGAGGAAGCCAAGTACAGTGCCCTGAGAGAGACATAACCATCCTTCCCTGTCTCAAGCAGGAGACAGAGCGGCAGGTGCTCAGTGCACTGGGCAGACAATGAGCTGGGGAGGAAGGAAATGGAAGAATCCCTGTGGTAAACTGCCAGGAAACAGTGCATTCAGCACTTCTGTACACATTTTGTTGAAACTAGCATCAGAGGCCAATTGAATACAGATTCTTGAATCTTCAGAGTTCCTTTATACTCAGTATCACTTGTTCTCAAAACTGTGAGCATGACATGAGCTATTTTTATTCCTTTTCCTTGCATCAAATACTTGCAAACATGGTAATGCCAAAGAGGCAGACATGAGGTAAGATCAGAAAATCCCTGAACTTGGTCAGCTCACCTGGCTCAACTGATTGTGGGTTCCTATGCTTGAGAGGAATTAAGAAATTGAAACCTATTTAAGTACCACAATAAAGAAGACAACATTGTTAAGGGGGAATTTGCAATGGAATGGATGGATGACATTGTTCTATTCATCACTTTCCATCTGATTTTCTCCTGGATCCCTGGTCTCCAAGTGTCACTGTTGAGCTAACAGCCCACAAATCCACAGTTACCTGGGGGGCACTGGTGCTTTCCCTTCTTCTTCCCCATAATTCTTTTGATTTCCTGTAAAGAAATTCAGAAGAGCAGGTTACAGTAAGCAAATCACACTTCACACAAGACCAAATCAGTGTCCAGTCATAGCACAGGGACATCAATATCCTGAGTGTAAGAATGTGATATTCTGCCAGGAAGATTCTAGTGTGGTCTAGATCAAGTCTTTTCAGAAGTAGATGAGCCTCCTTTCCAGACCCATGGGACAGAATCTCCCTCATCTAGTAGATCTTATTCATATATCCTCTGACCTAACTCTGTGCAAACAATTAAACAAAACTTTTTTCCCCATGATCTTCCAAAATGGCCTAACTATTCTTCAGAAGTGTTGCTGCAATACTGATTTATCTCACTATATATTCTGGTCAATGAATTCTTAGAGTAATTTATATTTCTCCTGGTAGCAGGGTGACTGCCTAGCTAAGACAAGCTGACTCAAAGGAGACAAAGACTGAGGCTGAGAAGAATGACACCAGGGAAACAACATCTTTAGATAAGTAGGCAAGGCTGTCTTTGACAGTGGCCTTGAACAAGCATAGAAACTCCATGGACATTGTGCAGGGGCACAAATTACATCATTAGAGGTGACAAGAGACATAGGAATTGAGCTAGGTGGCCTCCCAGATACCGCCTGTACACCTTCTGTACACAGGTGGCTATGAAGTTGTCCCACCTGCCTATGGTCCACCTGATATTGGGGCCAAGGAAAATTAGAAAGCTAACTGACCCTCTCGTATTTATATTAAATGTTCCATCCTAGTCCCCCTTCCTCCCTCTCTCCTTCCCTCCCTACTTTTCTCCTTCACTTCCTTCCTTTCCTCTCCTTCCTCCCCTCCCTACTTCCTTCCTTCCTTCCTTCTTTCTTTCCTTCTTTTACTTTTGAGATAGGGTCTCTCTATCACCCAGGGTAGAGTGCAGTGGTGCAATCATGACTCACTGCAGCCTCAATTTCCTGTGCACAGATGGTTCTCCTAACTCAGGCTCCAGAGTAGTTGGCACTACAGATGTGAACCACCTTGCCTGGGCAATTGTTTTATATTCGTTGTAAAGATGGATTTCACCACACTTCCCAAGCTCATCTTGAACTCAAGTAATCCACCCACCTGGGCCTCCCACAGCGCTGAAACTACAGATGTGAGCCACTGCCCCCAGCTGCATCCTAGTTTCCAATTCAAATCAACAGGTTTGTATATAGCCTGTCCTCAGAATTGATCTTCCTTAGCCTAGACAGAGGTATGAGGGACAAAGAATATAAAGGCTACCTGGGAGAATGTTTGAAGTTTCCTCCCCTTCATCTTGAGAGCATTCACTGTCTACAACCAGAGCAGGGTCGACTTTGTCTCCCTCAAATGTGACTTTGGCACTCCTGTGAGTCTGGTTGGAGTCAGAAGCGCCGTTGCTGTTTGAACAATGGACAGCACATTCCTCCAGTGAGTCCTGAGGGACTTCCTTTTCCTCAGCCTTCTGCACCCCTCTGATGAGCCACGTAGGATAGAGATGACCAAGAGGGATTGGACCCCAGGAGTGCCAGCTGGTTGTGATGGGAGGCATAAGGTAGTGGTCCCAGAAAGCAAAGGGGAGGTTCCATTTAAGACAGAACAGGAAATCCTCCTCTGTCTGCAACAGAGCATGGCTGCCTTCGGAACCAGAGAGGAAGAGAGCAGCTGGTATTCATTGCACTGGAGAGACAGGAGCTGAGGAAAGCAGAGGCTCACACAGAACCAAAAACAGCTGCCACACCGTGTGTCTAAGCTGGGTTGTATTTAACATGCTGTGACCAAGGGAATACAGGTTGTCTGAGCCTCGGTAGAATCCGGAGATGCTGTGCCTTGTAGATTTTTTTTTTTTAATTTTAACATTGTCATGTGAAAAGTAAAATTTTCCTGGGCACTTTTCTTGGTGTTTAACTTTGGTAGATGCTTCCTAATTCCTCTGCTTGTTGTCTCTTTGTTATTTATCTTCCCTAACAAGAGTCTAAGGACAACCATGTGGAAAGCGGCTTTCCATCTCATCCTGGCTTCACTACAAGGGAGGACAGGTCTCCTCTGCATGTGCAGGAAGTCCCTAGGGCTAGTGAGCATATCGAGGGTCATGCTTACAGGTGCCGTGAAGACAATGGACAAGCATGTTAACACAGCTATTTCCTTGTTGGTGAGTGCATGAAATCAGTGCACTCTGCAGTTGTCTGTATCCTGCATCTATGATCTATGACTACCTTCACCCACCTGTGTTCTTTCTGAGATTTTTTTTCCAGTATTTTACCACCCATTACCTGCTCCTGATTATTCAGTGTTACCTGGGGGCAGGTGATTCCTGTACTTTCTCGACCTCCTCATCTGTAACACCTTCATCTTCATCTTCATCACTTTCTACAAATACAGAAGCATCTATTCAGATATTTCCCACTTTACCCACTGGAAGCACAGTCAGTCATATGTGCACTGAGACATGAACATCCATGTATGGGTCTGCATTGTACTGAAAACTCTCCTGTTTATCTCTACAAAATGCCCTGGCATGTTCTCCTGATTTATGAGGGAATGTGTTGCTGACCTGGAGGGTCACCATCAAGATGTGGCCAAATATTGAAGACTTCTTGCTCCCCATATTACTGGAGGCTTGTCCAGCCTCTCTCTAAGCTTCAGCAGCTGTCTCCCCAATCCTGCCACTGTTCTGATACCCAGGCACAGGTTCTGTGTCCTGTCACAGCTTGCATTACAACCTGTATCTTTCTCTTAAGACAGTATAAGCAAACTTGTCCCACAGTACTCCGGGGACTTCATGTCCCACTTACATTGGGGACCTCATAGGCTCTCCAAGAGACTTCCACTGTGCTACCCAGGAACACTCTCTCCATGGGGAGTGCGCCAATCTAGACCACTTCCTACCACCAAATGCCCCCATATCAGGTGTCTTCTCCAATACCACACAGCAAGGGGCTTTATCTCATCATGAAATATAGTCATAAGTGTTCCCACATTTGAATGCAAGAGACAATTTGTCTGCCTTTACAGGATTTAGAGACAGGAACTCACGAAGGATAAATTAATCAGTTCCTCACAGTTGCTAAAGGCATTGCTGAAGATAGAGCCTGGGAACCTTCATTCTTAGTCCAGGGCTCTTTTTACTTTAACAAGCTGCATCCTGTCACAGCCTCCTTCCTGTCCTTTAAAACTGGACAGATGCTGCCTCTTGCCCCAAAGACCACGTTCCAGCAAGACACGAGGGGACATTTGCAATCCTGTGACCTGCAACCCCATGGATTACCCATTTCTGTTTTTGCCCAGGAAGTCCTGGTGATGTCATGGCTACAAATTTTTAGTAGAAAGAAACCCTACCCATAAAAAGTGTCATTGTGGAGGTGTGGAGGTCTGGAGACTTTTATAAGCCTGGGGCTGTGGGTCATCAGGGCCTGTGTCAACCTTACCTAGGCTGAGCTTGTTGACAAGACTGCTCTGCCAGCCTGTGCCCCTCAGCCAGCTGCACCTGGAGGTCCTGACCCTGGGACTTTTCAGGGCCACCAGGAGTGAGGAGGGCCTTCAAATACTGATACAGTGAAGGGGAGGCATCTCTCCCTTCCTGTAACTTCTCCTGTAACTGGGTCAGCTCTCTGGCCTGAGAGTGAACCAGGGCTTTATATTGCCTACGGTGAGATAGCAGAGAATGTTTAATAACGGAAAGTGATGACTGATCAGTTCTAATACCGCAACGGAGGTTTATGTGAGAATGTCCTCAAGGAGCCCTCCAAGCAGAAGGTCAAAACACATTTGAGGAAATGCCAGTGTCCAACTATATACGTACATATATATATGTATATTTGACAGGGCATGGTGGCTCATGCCTGTAATCCTAGCACTTTGGGAGGCTGAGGCTGAGCACATTACCTGAGGTCAGGAGTTCAAACCCAGCCTTACCAATATGGTGAAACCCCTGTTTCTACTAAAAATACAAAAATTAGCCAGGCATGATGGTGCATGCCTGCAGTCCCAGCTACTCAGGAGGCTGAGACAGGAGAATTGCTTGAACCCTGGAAGCAGAGGTTGCAGTTAGCTGAGATTGTGTGACTACACTACCGCCTGAGTGACAGAAATGACTCCATTAAAATATTCATATATATATAGTATACATACATGTTGTATTTCTATATACAAAGACTTCCTTTGTATCGGAGAGGGCTCCTGTAAGATCCTCTGTGATTTTCGATTCATTTATTTCTTCTGTAAACAAAAGTCATTGTCTTCTTAAGTCAGTTTCAAGGGGGTGTTCTTTTAGCTCCCCACTTTGGCTATGGACATTTCTATGTGAAAATTCACATAGTGCATCTTGCAGTGACTGGAAACAGAACTGTGCACAGAAATGTGGTCAGGTGCAGATGGGGTGATTTGGAAAGATGAAAGAAGAAAGGAATGGCAGGTCAAGAAGGCAATACTGATTGAACGAATGATTTGCTGCAGTCAGGAGGTGACTCTGACTAAGAGTAAATGGGCGGTGATCACACACTATTTTGAGTATATTAAATGCTGCTGGGTTGTTCATTTTCTTTTAATGAATTTTGGATATGCATATTTCAACTCAACAGTTAGCTGTTTTAAGAAGAGGAAACAAAGCTCAAGAAAAAACTGCAACCCATAACTTGCTAAGATTACTGTTCTGTTTTACGAGTGTTTGCGTGAAATGTGTCTGCCATGGAAATGAATGCCCTTGTCCTGGCCCAGCTTAGCTCTACTTCTCCCAGCTGAACTGCTGCACTTCAGAGATCACACTGCTGCCCACCTGCCTGTCCCCACAGCATCTGCTCACCTGAGCTCCACAGCTTGCCTGAGCTTCTCTGCCAGCTTCTCCTCTATGAACTGCACTTCATCCCTCAGCACAGAGTCTATGATGTCTTTGTCCTCTTCACACTCTGAGAAGAGACAGTCATGCCTGCCTCAGTGGAAGGCTGGACATGCTTGTGTGGTCACTGCCTGTAGGGCAGGTGGCAGTGTCTATCCCAAGGACAAAAGCATCCCCAGTACCAGAGAGTAGTGAGAGATTTTTTCATTTTTTCTTATCAACCTCCCAACTTTCTGGCATCTGACACTCTCCATCTTACAGATGGGAAAAAAGAAACTCATTGACACAGCAAGTAACTTGATAGGATGATTCACCTGGGATGAGGCAGAGTCAGAATTCATAGCCCGGAAGGTCTGGCTCTGAATCCTGGGACACTTTCCCAAGCCGTGCAGCCTCTCCTGTCAAACACTCTACTGAGGCATGAAGTAGTGATATCCTGTATAGTAGGAAAAGCCTTAGGACTGTGGGACTCATGGATTCCCTCTACTAGGAATTTCAAGCACATATATGTCAAAGATTTAAAATACCATATCTGAATATAATTGCATAAAATATGAGGCATAAGACCCTGAAGTCATCATAGAAATATGACCAAATACTAATAAAGTTTGAATTAAGTTCGAAACAGCAGGATGAAGAACTAATAGATAGTGTTCACTCTGTGCCAAGAATTGCTCTAGGAGATTTGGAAGAAACTTGTCCTGTAATTCATTGTAGCAACTTACAGAGGTAGATATTATTACAATAGCCAATGAACAGATGAGGAAACTGAGTTGCAGAGAAGATAGGCTACTTGGATGGAGCCTAGGAGACTGGCCCAGGCTCCCTGCTCTGCACACGACACTGCTACCTCCCCAGTGTCTTACATGCTGTCTTTATTCCTCTTTAGAGAAAGAGCCGGTGCCCCAGGAAGCAGGACTTCCCTATTCCCAGTTGCTACCTGCTATTCATGCTGTTACTTATGGATGCCACTGTTACTATTGAGAGCAGTCTCTTACTTTAAGTTCTTTAGAGCAGGTACTCTGTACTCTTGCCACATTTTCTCCGGGTTTTCCTTAAGAGAGATTTGCCTATCGGCCTCAAAGAAGCTTAAATGGAATTGCAGTTCGTTAGTTCCAGGCATTTAGACCAACAGACTAGATGTTATTCACCTGCAGGATCGTCTAGGGTACAGAGAGCGTTCTCATAAACATGACGGAGCATCTTGATGAGAAAAGCAAGTGGTTCTGTGCCTGTGTCAGAGGTTAGCAAGCAGGATTTTAACTCTAGTCCCACCTCATTTCGGAATGCTAAGGTGGAAAAGTGGCTAAATACGTTGTGCCTCTGTTTTCCATACTTAACACAATGAAGTGAAAATACCCATTTCTGCTTTCCCAGAACTAATAAAAGGATGAAATTAATTTTGATGAAGAAACTGTTTAGTATCCCAGGGAGAAGACAGGTGCTGATTGATCACTTTCGTGATGGTGAATCTATAGAAGTTACTGTATTTGTTGAGTTGCTGGGCCAGAGCGTAGGCAGTAGCTTGACTTATAAAAAATTTCTCCTTGAGCTCTTCAAACTGAAGTTGGCTCTCTGCCAGCTGGAAGTGCAAATCCTCGTTGGTTTCTTGGATTTCCATCTCTGCCCTGTCATGGGACAAATGTGTGGCAGTTACCACCATGCTGATGTTTGTGGCGGGAGAATTCAAACAGGGACTGGGGAGAAGAAACCCAAGCACATGATGGATCAAAAACTAGTGAAATCAACAAGGTTTAGTCAGGACTGAGGGATGACAACAGCTGGAATGGCCCACTTAGGGTTGCAAAGAACTTAATCAACACCCCACAGCACTTCAGAATCCTTAACAGCAAAAACAGTGTTTAGGATGCCTGAGCATCCAAAACACTCAGTTCGGAGGTGACTCTGACTAGGAGTAAATGGGCGGTGAACACACACCATTTTGAGTGTATTAAATGCTGCTGGGTGGTTCATTTTCTTTTAATGAATTTTGGATATGCAGATTTCTACTCGTCAATTAGTTGTTTTAAGAAGAGAAAACAAAGCTCAAGAAACAACTGCAACCCATACCTTGCTAAGATTACTCTTCTGTTTTATGAGTGTGTGAAATGTGCCTGCCATGGAAACGCCTGCCCTTGTCCTGGCCCAGCTTAGCTCCTGCTTCTTCCAGCTGAACTGCTGCACTTCAGAGATCACACCGCTGCCCACATGCCTGTCCCCATAGTGTCTGCTCACCTGAGCTCCTCAGCTTACCTGAGCTTCTCTGCCAGCTTCTCCTCTATGAACTGCGCTTCATCCCTCAGCACAGAGTCTATGATGTCTTTGTCCTCTTCACACTCTGAGAAGAGACAGTCATGCCTGCCTCAGTGGAAAGCTGGACATGCTTGTGTGGTCACTGCCTGCAGGGCAGGTGACATTGTCTATCCCAAGGACAAAAGCATCCCCAGTACCAGATTGTAATGAGGGATTTTTTTCATTTTTTTCTTATCAACCTTCAAACTTGCTGGCATCTGATACTCTCCAACTTAGAGATGGGTTAAAAGAAACTCATTGACACATCAAGCAATTTGACAGGTTGATTCACCTGGGATGAGGCAGAGTCAGAATTCATACCCCCATGGTCTGGCTCTGAATCCTGGGACACTTTCCCAAGCTGTGCAGCCTCTCCTGTCAGACACCCTACTAGGGCATGAAATCGTGATATCTTGTATAGTAGGAAAGGCCCTTCAGACTATGGGACTTCTGGATTCCCTCGTGGAAAAGTTGCTAAATATGTTGTGCCTCTGTTTTCCATCCTTAACACAATGAAGTGCAAATACCCATTTCTGTTTTCCCAGAACTATGGAAAAGATAAAATTAATTTTGATGAAGAGACTGTTTAGTATCTCAGGGAGAAGAGAGGTGCTGATTCATCACTTTCGTGATGGTGAATCTATAGAACTTACTGTATTTGTTGAGTTGCTTGGCCAGAGCGTAGGCAGTAGCTTGACTTATAAAAAATTTCTCCTTGAGCTCTTCAAACTGCAGTTGGCTCTCCGCCAGCTGGAAGTGCAAATCCTCGTTGGTTTCTTGGATTTCCATCTCTGCCCTGTCATGGGACAAATGTGCGGCAGTTACCACCATGCTGATGTTTGTGGCAGGAGAATTCAAACAGGGACTGGGAGAAGAAACCCAAGCACATGATGGATCAAAAACTAGTGAAATCAACAAGGTTTAGTCAGGACTGAGGGGTGACAACAGCTGGAATTGTTGACTTACTGTTGTGAAGAACTTAATCAACACCCCACACCACTTTAGAATTCTTAACAGCAAAAACAGCGTTTTGTATGCCTGAGCTCTGAATCGAAGGCACTGCCCGTAGCTCTGCCTCTGTCAAGAGTGAGGGAGGTCAGAGCCAGAGTGCCAGGTAACCGTCTGCAGTTGCCATAACAGAATTAGAAGATGAGGGTGTCATGGAATCTTAGGAGCCCTGCAGTCCTATTGCCCAGTTTGTGCTTAAACCCAAGGCCCACTGGTCTCACCTGAGAGTCACTGATGAGGACCATTTCCTCGGCAGTCTCTCAGTATTTGTGCATCTTTGTGACAGTGCTGCAGACTCACCTCTTTCTCAATATATCTAAGCATATTCCTTGTTGTTCATATTGTGTGTGGATAAAATCATCAAGGTAGAGACAGTTTCCCAAGAAGTTACATTTACCAATCCACTATTTACCAAGAATTTAACAAACGCTTATATGGTTGGTAATTCTTACAATGCTGTACAATTTTCATTCCCATTCAAAACTCGAAGAAGTCTGAGTCAAGGATCTGAACCCAAATCCATCAAATACCAAAGCTTATACTCTTAAAACGTGCATGTAACACAGTCAAAAAAATTCTTACTCTGTTTATGTATAAGGCATTTGTATGCATACAGTATATATGCAATGCTTTTGTCACACTGAAATTTCATGATGAGGGAGCATTTAGAAAAAGAATTTCTGAAAAGATTCCTTAAGAAGACAATAATCAAAAAGTTTGAGCGATACTATCTTAGTAGAACTTGGAGTTCTGAAAGTATGTTACTGGTGCAGCACTTTTACTGGTGTGGTTCTGTCATCAAAAACTCACCTAACCCTGCATGTGAGTTCTCACCAAAGCCAATGGGTAGCTGACCAGCTGACCACAGGTGCTGGATGAGGCATCACATCCCAGCAACACCATGACTCCAGGGTTTACAGAGTCTTTTGCAAAATTATCCAGCCAATAGGACTTCAAGAGCTGCCAGATAAATAAAGAAGAAAAATAACACACAATGAACTCTACAACTTCACTCCATGTAAACACTTTCACAGCTATTCTCAACCTCATGAGAAGCCCCATTGCTGCAGGTTCACAGAAGCAACAGGCACTGTAAGAAGCAGTGGCTCTGTTGAGACATAGGAGGCCACTGAGGATGCAGAACACATGAGGTTTGCACCAGTTACTCACGTTCTTCTAAACAAACATGAACTGCTTATCAAATGCCACAGGATCTAAAGAACACCTCTTATGGTGAGCATTAATGAAATAATTCTACTAACTGTATCTCATTTTAGACTTTACATACATTTCATTTGGGTCTTACAAAAACGCTGACATAAATCTATTATTCTGGTTTTAGAAATGAGGAAAATTCGTCTCAGCAGAGTTTTTTTAAGAAGGACTCAGAGCCGGGCACGGTGGCTCAAGCCTGTAATCCCAGCACTTTGGGAGGCCGAGGCAGGTGGATCACGAAGTCAAGAGATCCTGGTCAACATGGTGAAACCCTGTCTCTACTAAAAATACAAAAAGTTAGCTGGGCATGGTGGCATGTGCCTGTAATCCCAGCTACTCAGGAGGCTGAGGCAGGAGAATTGCCTGAACCCAGGAGGCAGAGGTTGCAGTGAGCCGAGATCGCGCCATTGCACTCCAGCCTGGGTAGCAAGAGCGAAACTCCGTCTTTAAAAAAAAAAAAAAAAAAAAAAAAAAAAAAGCAGGACTCAGAATCAGGCATGCTGATCAAAAGGACATGCTTTATTCCCTGTTACTCTAGGTACCTGTATAAAATATATATGATAATCAACTTTTAAACATAAGATATTTTAAGGATAAAATACACGTTAATATGTTATATGATATTTTACGTATAAAATACATGTTAATATGTTATAATCCCAGTACTCTGGGAGGCAAAGGCAGGCAGACTGCCTGAGCTCAGGAGTTCATGACCAGCCTGGGCAACATGGTGAAACACTGTCTCTACTAAAACACAAAAATTTACCCAGGCATGTTGGTATGCACCTGTAATCCCAGCTACTTGGGAAACTGAGGCAGAATTGCTTGAATCCAGGAGGCAAAGATTGCAGTGAGCCAAGATTGCGCCACTGCACTCCAGCCTGATGAATAAAGATTCCATCTCGGGAAAAAAAAAAAAAAAAAAAGACTCAAAATTTTCAATCCTACAGGACAGAATTAAGAAACTATCCCAATGTATTAAAAAATCCATTAAGTGCATTTCTCAGTGGAAATCTTGCAGGTTAGAAGGAAGTAGAATATTATATTCTAAGTTTTGAAATTCAAAAAACCACCAAACAAAAATACCGTATGGGCTAAAGTGTCCTTCAGAAACAAAGGAGAAATTAAGACTGTCCCTCCTTTATGTCTCCTTTTGTAAAGTATCTGTTCATATCCTTCGCCCATTTTTGAATGGGCTTGTTTTTTTCTTGTAGATCTGTTTTAGTTCTTTGTAAATTCTGGATATCAGTGCCTTGTCAGATGGGTAGACTGCAAAAATTTTTTCCCATTCTGTTGATTTCCGATTCACTCTACTGACTGTTTCTTTTGCCGTGCAGAAGCTGTGGAGTTTTCTGAAATGCCCAACGATGATAGACTGGATAGGGAAAATGTGGTACATATACACCATGAAATATTATGCAGCCATCAAAAACGATGAGTTCGTGTCCTTTGTGGGGACATGGATGAACCTGGAAACCATCATTCTCAGCAAACTGACACAAGAGCAGAAAATCAAACACCGCATGTTCTCACTCACAGGCAGGTGTTGAACAATGAGAACACATGGACACAGGGAGGGGAGCACTACACACTGGGGTCCGTTGAGGGGAAATGGGGGAAGGATGGAGGGGTGGGGAGGTGGGAAGAGATAGCATGGGGAGAAATGACAGATACAGGAGAGGGGACGGAAGGCAGAAACCACACTGCCATGTGTGTACCTATGCAACAATCTTGCATGTTCTTCACATGTACCCCAAAACCTAAAATGCAATAAAAAAACTAAAAAAATTTAAAAACTTTTTAAAAAAACACTGTCCCTGACACACAAAAGCTGATGTGGTTTGGCACCACTAGACCAGCCCTACAAGAAAGGTTAAATGGAGAAACAAAAGGTTGATAAATAGCGACACAAAACCATATGAAAACAGGAAGCTCCATGGTAAAGGTCAATATTTAGAATATTACAAAATTCTATAGTATTGTAATGAAAGTATATAAATAACTTCAAAATCTAAATTCCAGAAACAATATTTAAACAGAATTTAAAGAACAGAAGCATAAAAAGTAACTTATAAATCTCTGTTAAGGATATGCAATATCAAAAGACATAAAGTCGGTAGGGAGGAGATGAAAGATGTAAAGGAACAG